TATTTGCATTTTATGATTATGAGTATAGACTGGAGATCAGATTGAGATATTAAAGTTTGAGTTTAATTTGCCCACGTGTTAGGGCTTTGCTTTGAACTACAAGTGTGGGTATTCAGTATTTTATTTATGAAAATTTTTCCCGATGCAATTTAAAATTCGAGTATTTTATTTATCAAGGGCATTTTAGTAAAAGTAGTACCTGGCCGGGTTAGGGTGTTTCAGCCTAGTGTATGTACCAATATGTATAGAACGAGTAAGTATTCAATGTTTGGTCATGTGTAGGTGTGTCTTCCGATGAAGGATAGGCGTCATGAAGGTAAGGCGCATTGGTACCTGGATATCAATTTCATCAAGGAGCAAAAAGTCCACATCCATGAGTGAAGTCAATCTGAGGAGCGGAAGGCATTACGTAAGAGAGATGTGGACAGAATGGTGGAGTTATTAAATTGTGTGTGGTTCTTATGTAATCATCCATCTGTGCGTCCGTCTGTTTAATTACCAACGGTTCATCAATTGTGTAGATGGTCTTTTAGGATAGCTTGTGGCTGGCTCTGTGCCTTGAACACGAACACACATGCGAGCCGCCGAGATTTCTAGGTTATACCTACACAAGGCCTTCTAGTCAAGAGCAAATGGACGAGTAAGAATATTTCTTTCTGCATCCTTTCAAAGGCGTGCTTATAAAATAGTTTCTCATGCAATGGTTTTCATCTTTTTTAGGTCTGATAGTGGGGTGTGGGTATGTTGTTGGATAATGGGAGCATCATTGGATTCATTTTTCATATGGGTGAGTCGTGAGCTAATGTTCTTATTCGAAGCAAGCAACGACAATATTTTGTAAAATTAAATCTTAATTGTATTGTTTACTCGGACTTAATATGAATTGTTTAATTTTCATACAACCATGTGGCCCTTTTAGGTGAATGAAACTGGCTTTTTTTCTTATACGACATCCTATGAACATGTTTAGGCATAAGGTGCTGAAGGAAGCCAAAAAACTAGCACCTAAACTTGGATCTCTCACACTCGAGTACAAGGAAGATCACCAAAAGAGACGGGAAGAAAGAGAGAACGCCTCCTTTGAGGATTGAAATATTGTATTAGATGATTTTATAAATGCCTGGTGTTTTTGCTACATTTGACAATGAATTTTCTAACTTGGAGTTTGGTTATATTGAAGTATTGTATTGTATTGCATTGCATTGAGTAATTTACCTATATTTTTGTTGAATAATTATGGACGTGTTAATTAATGGCATATAGTCATTGCTTGATAATTGGTACGATGAAAGAAAAACACCAATTATGTATCAGTAATCCAATGAAATAGATGTCTTTTAGAGTAATGGACATGCGAAGCAATCAAGCTGCCTTCTTACAAAATTAAAACGGATTTAAGTGTTGGTGTAAATGTGCATAAGAAAAAGATGTTGATTTGAGCTAAAGTATTACTACCAATATGCTTTTGTTGTTTGGAAACTTCCAAAAATAAGTGAATTCTAAAATTGAGCAAATAAGGCACTGCATGTTTGCATAGAAATACCAAACAACAAGAGGACATGCAGGCAAGGGAGGGAGTGAAGAACAAACCCCCATCCAAGGTTGTTGATGTAGTGCAACACCTGAATATCAAACTCTTGAAACTCTTCAAGGTCAAAAATGATTTTAGTGTGAAGAGAACGAGAAGCAAACAATCTGTAGAACCGACTGTGATTCCTTTCCCAGGGGTCATTAAAAACCTTGTTTACAAAGGTTTTGTTAACACCATGAAGTCTTGGAAGAGGGATGTTGTCAACCATGTTTGGGGCAGAGAACGAAACAAATCAAAATGAGGAAGCAAATAATGAAAGGGTATAGAGATAGTAAGACAAAATGCAAAGAGATGGAAAAATGGAAGAAAATATAAAAAGTCTCGCTTCAACTAAAACTTAAAAAAAGGAAAAACAAAAGTCTCGCAAGAGATAAATACAAAAAATATTTCTTACCTCTATAGTATATATTACTTACCTTCTACATATCAACAAATCAATATTCCCAGTAGATATACCTCACGCCTAGACTAGAAAATCTCTACCAGTGATTCGACCCTTCAAGTAATTAACTACAACACTAGGACAATAGATAAACTTGAAAGCTCAACCACTGATTCGACTCCTCATAATAATTACTTGCACTACAATAGATAGAATTTTGGTATTTTTTTGAGATATTTGGTATGCTTTAGGAGACTTGTGATATGCCTTTACGTAACTTGTGGTCTGGTAAGATTGTGGTATGCTTTCTATCCCTTCCCAACGAATGATCCGTTCGAGACCTAGTGAAAATGAAATACGTTTACAATTTCCATAAAATTTTATCCCTAATTAATACATTCAGAATATCCGAAAACTAATTCACATTAATTAAGCTTTCAACCCTAGTTGGAACGGTCCAGTGCTTGGCCCATTAACCCCGCATGCATTAAGCCCACGAGAGCATTTATAGGATTCGAGATCATATTGCAGTATTCTAAAACCAATAAGGTATGTTATTTCACAATCACAAGTTAAGATAACTATCCACCCACAATTCGATTGAAATTCCTTCTTCGTCATCTTCTTCCTCCGGTCGAAACGATCCCAGAACGGGATACACCTACCTGGAACAAGAACGAAAAAGTAAATAAATAAAGGGGCAAGACAATAGACTTGTGGCATGCTTTTATAAACATGTGGTTTGCTCTACGTTACTTGTGGCATACAATAATAAACTTGTGGTGTACGTTATTGGTCATGTGGTGTGCTTTAACGAACTTATGGAGTGCATTTCTAAACTTGTGATATGCTTTGTGCAATCGTGTAATAGAGAGAGGTGGCTGTTGTACCATGCCTCTCTATTGGGCCAAGTGCTCTGGTCGGAGATGGCTAATGATTGTTTGAATGGAAGGATGAAAGAAGAAGACTGTGTACATCGTAATTGCTTGTATCAAATTCAACAGAGAATGGGGGTTGTGAATCCAAAGTTGTGTACTGGAATCAGAATCAATTTGAGTGGAATCGATTGTTGGAGGAGGCGGTGAGAGATGGGAGATAGCAACAGAGAGAAAGAGAAAGAGACTGGCGGTACGAGAGGAGGAGAAAAGGTTGGGTGGTTTGCAGATGAGGGTTGGGTCGTCTGGCCAAAACATGACTTTGGTTCATACGTACTGACCAATCATCCGACGGAAGTGGATTACAATGTTACGTTTTTGGGTTTGGGGACTGGTACTGTAATTTTAATTCCACAAAAACAAAGCCCGCATTATCTCGGCTATTGAGATGGATTGCACGGTAGAGATGGGTGGTATACAACATACCGCCATATTTAACTAGTGTACAATAGAAGACACTATATATATGGTGCCTTCTACGGTACCCCGGGTGAAATCCAGGGTACCGCATACCTTGAGTATGAAAACGCTATCTAGACCTCGAATTAGCAGGATTTTTGGGCATGATACTATACCCTAACCCTTAATGAGTGAACCCTAGGTCCTAATTATCTAAATCATAAACTATAAACCCTAAAATGGTGCATTGATTTTTTTGCCTATATTTGGACGAATCATAACGGTCTATTATCGTTTCTAATTAAATTGATCTTCGGGTATAAGATTTAGATAATTAAGACCTAGATGTTGATCTTTAAGAGTTAGAGTATAGTATCATGTCCGAAAGATTAGTCAATTCAAGTTCTGGATAGCGTTTTCTTACTCAAGGTATTCGGTACCCCAGATTTCACCCAGGGTACCATAGAACTAGCCATATATATATATATGGCGGCTACTTCGGTGCACTCACTTTTTTGAGTGCATTCTGTGCACTCACCTCTAAAAGTGGTCATAATACATTAAATTTTGAAATTTAATGGGTTGTATTAGTCTAATATGATGATATAACATAGAATTCCAACTAATCAACCCATTACCCTAACCTATTAACCTTCAATTTTGAATCTCAACCCAAAATCCCAAATTGTAAACCCTAACCCTAAATTCCTAAACCCCGAATCATTCAAATTAAAGTGAATCTTGAATGATTTTTGTACAAATTCATGTGGTTCTTGTTCATCATACCACAGGTGATGATTGACATCGTTTTCACATGAATTGCCTGCTCAGAATGACGATTATGAGGCGGGTGCATTGAATGCACCCAAAAAAGTGAGTGCACCGAAGACATAACCATATATATATGGTGGCGTCTTCGGTGCACTCACTTTTTTGGGTGCATTTAGTGCACTCGCTTCATAACCGTCATTTTAAACATGCGATTTATGTTAAAATGATGTCAATCATCACTTATAATGTGATGAACAATAAAGCACATTAATTTGCACAAAAACTATTGAAAATTTACTTTAATTTGAAGAATTCAGAGTTCAGAGATTTAGGATTAGGGTTAGGGTTTACAATTTGGGGTTTAGGGCTAGAACTCAAAATTGGAGGTCTAGGGCTTAGGATAATCTGCTAATTAGTTGTTATTATATGTTATATAATCATATTACACTAATTCTACAAATTAAAATTCAAAATCCGACACCTTAAGACTAGTTTTTGAGTTGGGTGCATTGTACGCACTCATTTTTGTGAGTGCACCGAAGTAGTCACCATATATATATATATATTATATATATTAAAACTCAACGGGCGTACAATGTACGACTGACGTACGCTAGCCTGAACCATATATATGGCAAAGGCTAGCATACGCCTGACGTACGCTATACGCGGATACGCCTGTGTTCACACCATAAATCAATTTTAATTATAATTAAATTAATTCTAATTATAATTACAACCACACCCGTTAATAAACTCTTTTGTGTGCTTTAGTCACACAACATTTTCTATCCTACATTATACATAAATCAATCATCTCAATACCCACTTCTCCATCTGTTCCCAAAACCCTCGAAGACCTGCAAGTTCTCGAATCTCGATCAATTCTTAGCAGCTGGAGTATGGGACGACGGTGAGCGGCATGATAAGCAGAGGAGAGAATGGCAATCTGGAAGGCTTGATGGTGCAGTTCTTGTTCCTGTGGTCAACTTCGTCGAGGTTGTTCATGCCGGCCACCGGATGCAGTTCACCAACAAGATCGCCTCCGCAAGTTCCCTCCTCGACGGGTTTTACGCAGCCTGGATTGCGGTTGCAGGTTCGATTGCAACAGATTGGGTCGGTGTTGGGCTCTGCAATTTCCTAGCTCTGAATTCTAATTTTGTAACTAGGTCAGTTAATAGTATTAGTTAGATACATATATGAATGGTGATTGAATAATGAGGCAAAGACATCGTGTATGTTCTATTTAATCACCAAAATGAATGAATGACATTTATCTAAGGGATCGAAAAGGTCGATATAGTTTCCTGTTTATTGTAACCATGGCTAATCTTTCTAAACCAGTTGGAAGCTCTGTTTTAAGAACCAGTCCACCTGGTAGTTATCAGCATCAATGGGACATGATATCAAGTAAATGGTCTACATATCCTCTCTGGAGGGTACGATTTATCAAGATGGAGGTTATTCAGCTTCGTCAAAGATCACCCTGGCATGGGATTGAATTTCCAAAAGTGCTCAAACCATCACTGTCAATGTCACTCCCTCCCCCTATTATCGTTATGGAAAATAGAGGGTATTTCTAGGGAATTGATAAATGTCGTCCTTAAAATTACTATTGATCGTCCTAAAAAATAATAAATTTACACTTTTAACCTTTTGTCATCTTTAGCAAACAAACATCACTTTAACTAAAAAAATGAAAAACACTCAATTTCCCACGCTCTCGAATTCATCGTTGACATTCTCGAGTCGTAATCGTTGGGAATACGTCCGAATCATGAGTAGCGACTCCGACGAGGTAAAAATCCAATTTTTTTCAAAAAATCCCAAAATCCCTCAACCGAAGCCAATTTTCGGTTGTACCATGGCTCAACCTAAGGCAATTTTCGGTTGGTCCATGGTACAAACGAAAATTGCCTTAGGTTGAGCCATGGTACAACCGAAAATTGGCTTCGTTGAGGGGTTTCGAAATTTTTTTGGATTTGTTTGGTTTATATCAATAATTTTCTATTCTTTTACTACGATTTATGGTTCGGTTCATAAGATAATTTGTTGGATTTTGGTTTATATTTTTTTAGATTTATGGAAGGGGAGGGGTTGTTTGTTTTGTGTTTGATTTTGAAATTCAAAATGGGCAATTCGGTAAATTACATATTAAGTTAGGACGATGGTTAGTAATTTCTAGGACGACCTTTAACCATTCAGTATTTCTAGTATGGGACCTTGCTTCCTTTCCCATTACTTTACTCGCCGCCAGCGTGGTGGTCGCTGAAATTTGGAAACGTCACCGGATCCCTGTAATCTATGGTTTGTTGGGTTAAAGCGAACTTAATGTATGTGATAGTAATTAGTTTTTTACTTTTTACAAATAATTAATGTAGTTATAATTAATAATTACTTCATGTGTAAACGCAAGTGTATAGCGTATGCCAGGTGTACGCTAGCCTAAACCATATATATATATATATAATGGTGACTTCCACAGTACCCTGAGTGAAATCCAGGGTACCACATACCTTGAGTATGAAAAAGCTATCTAGACCTCGAATTATTAAGATTTTTTGGCCTGATACTATACGCTAACCCTTAATGAGTGAACCCTAGGTCCTAATTATCTAAATCATAAACTATAAACTCTAAGATGGTGCATTCATTTTTTGCCTATATTTGGATAAACCATAACCGTCAATTATTGTTTCTAATTAAATTGATCTTGGAGTATAAGATTTAGAGAATTAAGACCTAGATTTTGATCTTTAAGGGTTAGAGTGTAGTATCATGTCTGAAAGATCAGTCAATTCAAAGTCTGAATAGCGATTTCATACTCAAGTTATGTGGTACCCCGATTTTTACCCGTAATACCGTAGAACTCACCATAGCCGACTAACCCTACTAATACTATTATAATTAATAATTAATATTACTTATATTAGAAACGTATGTTTCTAACGACTCTTTGGGACTGGTCAGTGGATTTAATGTAAGGTCGGGTGTTTAGGGATATTAACCAATTACGGACAAGGTTTGTAACCAGCATCAACTGCTATGTTAAAATAAAAGCCCTTGCTTTGCGCACAACGCCTTGGCTTCGTTGAAGAAAGTTGGTGTGCCTCTCCTTGGGATAGGCCTTTGATTATCGGCTTTCGACTTACCCTGGTCCAACAGATTCTTCATTACATGCGTCAATGAGCTCAAATGTCGCCATGCTAACCAAGTTCTCAAAGCTTCTCTCACAGTAAGGGAAAACTTTCCAACAATCAAATTCTAACAGATTCAACAGGGAACTATGTCCTACTGATACAGATTTCCTGAGGACATACAGCTGTTATGTACTTGGCTCTACAGAAACAATCCTCAACTGACATCACCCTTTTCTTATGTCCCGCAACTTCACCTATGCTCCCTATTACATTTCCCCCTTGGGACGGGAAACTCATCCTTATGATGTTAAGGGAGGAAGAAACTAAGACTCAAACTCCAACCACAGAACCCACCTCCAAATAATCATGTGACCAAATAAATGAAATAAAAACAATTGTTCCTTTCCACCTTTGAACTCTTTCCCCACGCAGCAACCGGGTGGCATCTACACATGCATGCACTTCTTTCTATTATATCCTCGTTAGTAGGAAGAGCAGCTCTGACCTTAAAATGGCCTCCACTCGGAAACCTCAACGGGTGCTGCAAATTCTTGAGCTGGAAAAAGACCATCCTGCATCATCTTTTAAGATTCTGTCTGGTGGTGTTCAAGATTCCGCAGCACAATTCTGGCAAATATTTTTGCTTCCAGTGGTGCCGTTGCTGCTGCAGCAGCAGCACGCAGAACCCTTGCTGCTCCTGTGTTTTGCATCAAGCTTGCATGGTGCATCGCATGCCTCCCACCAGGAATAGTGAACTATGTATAGGAATGAATAACAGGCAAAAAAAAAATATATATATATATATATTATAAGTCACGGCCCAAGAACAATGATGAACTTCAAGAATGAATCACGGCACCATACCACTCATTACCTGCAGAAGAGCAAATGCAGCACAGGCTTTAAGTATGGAAGATGGGTTCCGCAACAAGGTCACAAATCTCCCGATTTCAGCTCCACTGAGAATCAAGAGAGAAAAAATGTGGAAAAGTGGCAAACACAATTAGTTACATATTTCCAATTGGAATGACGAAAACAGTCAGGAATACCGAGGGGGAGAGAAGACAGAGTAAGGACCTGCATCTTAGATGCCCAGCTTCTTGAATACGAGCCCTCTCTGTTACCTGCGCCAATGCTGCAGGAGCTGATGATGCTGCAGCAACAGCAAATGCATGTTGATCTGAGAATGTAAGCACAAACGCCTCGATATGTTTCAATGCCAATCTCCTAGCCCCCTCTAAGCTCATGCTCTTTGAAATCCCTTCAGAAGTAGTTCCTACCAATGCGAACTCATCCATTCTGAACACAAGGAAGAGAGTGCATAGCTTTCAAATTTGGCTTTCATCTTTCAATTTAAGCAATAAAATTGAAACTTAGCAAATCTAGAAAATAGTTAACTGGAGGCCAAAAGCAGTCAATTTGATGATTCTGGACAGTATGGTTTGAATACACACAGTATGGTTTGAATACATATGAAGCAAAATGAGTACCTCCCGTCAAACATGTATGCCAATGCTAAAGCAGCCATGAACCTTGCCATTTTCGATACTGATGTGGAACAAAGATTAACAAGTGCGGGTACGCCCCCTTCCTCCACTATTCGAAGGGCATTACCAGGGGTAAAAGCAAGATTCCAGAGAGCACCAGCAGCAGTTTCATGAACATCCTGAAGGCAAACAAAATATGAGCCTAAAATGAGGTTCGACTTTATATTGCAGGAATGCCGAAGAAAGAGAGCCTATACAAGTGGTTCTACTTGTGCAATACGGATGAAAGTCAGTTTAATGCAAAGCAAGAATCAGTGCATGGAAAATAAAAGTGGGTTCTCTTTTACACAATCCCAGTCGAAGAGATCATAGCAAAGACATAGTGTTGTGCAGACTACAGACCGAGGGAGGCTTGAGAGACAACAATATCAACAACCTAGAAATCATACTAACCTCAGCATCAGAGCGTGCCAGTGCGATCAAAGGTGCAACACCTCCTTCTCTTCCAATAGCAATGCTGAAAGACATTTCAAAAGTATCAAGGTATGTGCATCAACAAAAGCAAACCCATATTTCTGACTCTAAGCGGTGTTGAGCACAAAGCAATGCAGTCCTAAGAAAAGATAGTGCAGTAAAACTTAAGTCAACCACAACAGGAACTATCATGCAACAAATATATGTCGACCACTTATTTACTCACCATAATATCTCAAAGTCAGATGTGCTACAAATGGATGATTACTATTGGAGCTCTGATCAGTAACCGACACTCAAAATTCCCTTTTCTCAAGTTTCTTTTCCAAACCATGATCTACTTCAACTCCCACAATGGAGGATAGTAAGGCCACCCTCCTTGTAAAACAATTGCTATAAACCCACATACCTATTGACTTCTGATACAGACAGTCCCCAGAGTGCTCCAGCAGCCCTCTCCTGAAGACCAGGTGAGGCATTCGAACAGGATTGTGCAAGAGCAACCTAAACAAAAGGTAGAAGATTAAACCCCAAACCCTCGGAAACAGAGAAAGAGAAAGGGCAACAAAAAGGGGTAACCACCAACAAGAACAAACATCCATCTGTCAGAAGGACCATATAGACAAGTACCCAACTAGCCTAAGAATTGCGGGAAAGTAAACCAGCAGAAAGTACCATAACACTGGAGTGGGATTTTCAGATCAGGAAGAAAGAGAAAACATAAGGTGAACAACAAGAAGGCCTTCTGGCAAGATGGGTCAGGACTAACTACAGAAGCAGGTACTACCAAAATCCTGGATTGTAATGTCTCCCTTACATAGAAAGCTACGGAGCTAATAAAACAAACCTGAAAACAAGGAAGGTCATCACTGTTGATTTACACACAAATCTTTAAGAATGTGAATTTCTCTATGCTGCTCTTCTCTCTATCTATAATGATATGGACTTAAGAAGGTTACATTATTTGACGTGTAGTGTTAAGCACACCAGATTCCTATCATGAAGTGCTAATGGCAAATTTTCAGAATTCATCATCTTCCGTG